CATATGCAATTGCATTAATTTGGTGAACATCCAAGCTCCCACTTTCCTTGCAATCATGCTTTCCGTGCGTAACATATCTGTGCGTCTGTAAGTTGACGGTCATTGGCGATGAGGTGGCCGCCCATCCCGTCGGGCCACGCGTGATCCGGCCTCCCAGGCATCCCGACGCCCGCGCCGCCCAATCGCCCGCCGCCGCGGGCGTTGCCACAGAGGCCCGAGGCGCGCTGGCGGCGCCAGGGGCGCGGCCACCAAAAGTCAAACCCGTTCTCTATCCGCAGCACCGACGCCAGCGGGAGGCGGAGCGAGCAGGGCCAAAGGCAGAGCAGAGGCAAGAGGCAGAGGCAGAGGCAGAGGCAGAGGCAGAGGCCCCGAGCAGAGGCAGAGGCAGAGGCAGAGGCAGAGGCAGAGGCAGAGGCAAGGCAGAGGCAGAGGCAGAGGCAGAGGTATGAGGCAGAGGTAGACGGCTGAGGCAGAGGCAGAGGCAGAGGCAAAGGCAGGGGCAGAGCAGCGTGGAGCGGAGGTGGAGGCAGAGCCAGGGCCAGAGCCAGGGGCAGAGGCAGCGGCCAGATGCAGAGGCAAGGTAGGAGGTAGAGGCGGAGATGCGGCAGAGGCAATGGCAGGGGGCAAGAGCAGGAGGTGGAGGCTGAGCAGAGCCATGAGCCCAGGGGCAGTGGCAGCGGCAGAGGCAGAGGTAGAGGCGGAGACTGCGCGCAGAGGCAGAGGCAAAGGCAGGGGCAGAGCAGAGGTGGAGCCTGAGCCAGAGCCAGAAGCCAGGGGCAAGGCAGCGGCAGAGGCAAGAGGCGGAAGACTGCGGCAGAGGCAGAGGCAAAGGCAGGGGCAGGAGCCAGAGGCGGAGCGGAGGTGGATGCCAGGGGCAGAGGCAAAATGCCGTGGAGCTGACGGGAGCTGTGGCGGCGACACTCACTTTCACGCAGTGGCCCGCGGGCGCGGCGTAGGGGCGGCGGCTTCGGCGGACGTCGCCCGGCGGAGAAATCCCCGCGGCGCGGCGCAGCGGGCGCGCGGCCGGATGTGGAGCCCAGCGGAACGAGAAGAAGGCTTCGCGAAAGTCCCGCGGCGCCGGCGCCCGCCCCCGTCGCCCCGCCTCGCCCCGCGCACTTCCGCCCCACCCGTTTCCACTCCCACCGATTGAGGAAATGCATTCCGATAATGAGCAGTCAAACACGCAGTTAATTTACCGAGTATTAATTAGAAAATCAAGGAAACGTTTTTACATGTTAAATTAGAATAATGTATTAATATTAGAATACACTTATCGCTTTTATGCGTGGCTATTCTACTATATGCGTAACTTGTTAGAAAAAAAGAATAGCAAAATTATACCTAACAACAAAATTGCTAAAGTTAAAAAAAGTCAAAACCATGAAAAATAGATCAAGATTTGTAGTTAGGGAAGAATTCTTGAAATTTCGGAATGTGCATTTGTCTAATCCGAGACATGTTTAATGTGAAATCGAGGTGAATGCTGAGAAAAAGTTCAATATTGCTATTTGATGAAGAGCCTACATAACTAATTTTGTGATTTGTTATGGGCTATTAGTTGGCGAAAACTCGTATTAGGAACCATAATTAAACCATTTTCGACAGGCCAGTATGCCTACTTTCTACCTTCGGGTAATGCGCTTACCTACTAACATGCAGGTGGGATAGCCTCTGCGTGGAGGGAAAGCGCTGCGTGTCTAGTGGGACGCAATGAATTGTCTGTTGAGCTGGAAACTTCATTTTCCTCGTTCTTGTTTCAATGTAACGTTTATAGCAACGTTCATTTGATCAATTTTCTCTTTAAGAGGTCAATAATTATACGATTTTAAACGAATTTAGAAAAATGTTCAAAGTACATTACCTACTTTACGAATTATTTAATATGATGTGCATTTTACAAACCTACAAGTCTTCTTCATTTCTGTATATTAAGTATAGCACAGTTTTCATGAATATTTAAAGTAAGGTCTTCGGGTTACTGTTATCGTAACTTGTATTAATTACTACACCATTCTCGCTTCTAATGCTGACTGCATTAAAGAAATCAAAATCATAAGTCTTCTCCATTTACGAACAAGTTTATTACATTAGATTGATAGAAGTAAATCTCCAAGTGTAAGATATTTACAAAATATTTAAAAAAATATACTAGATTTGTTAATTTGTAGTTTGGTGTCGGGCAGTACTATGTATAATTAAAAATATTATTTTGCAACATGATAAAATTTAATGCAACTGTCCATTTTATAAACAACTGCATTCATCATTGCATGCCTAAGATAAATTTCTTCTAATGGTTGTTAAATTCGTTTTCTAAATAGTAGAAAGAATGAACATTTCAAATGCAAAATTCAATCGAGGTTATCTATCTTATCGGTAGAATCGAAAAGTCGAATGGTTTCACAAGAAAAATATTATACATTATTTTCCATCGATTGTATCAAAAAATAATTTTATCGCACGGTATTCAAAGACATTACAAGCAACTCATCAATGTCTCTTGGTGATTCAGACACTCGAAGAGGAAGATGCAAATTACGCTTTGAGATCAGTTGAAGAGAGGGCACGCTTCGCTTCGTCTCCCTCGAGGTTTCCGCTCGGGGAAGACATGTGGAATTGCTTTTAAATAGTTTTCGCAAATATATAAGCTATTCACAAAAATAAATTTATCTCATATTTTTATTTTATTAATGCGGCATTTTTGTTTACCTCTCTTACGTACTAATAATTTCACTTTTCGTACCTAAACGAACAATTCAATTTCTTGTATTCTATTTCTATATGTTTAACTATAAAAAATGGGAAGAGTTGAATTAGCATCGATTTTGTGAAAGAACACAGACAATGGTACTAATTGTCAAAATTTCTTCTTAGAGTTCTCATCAGTGTTCACACAGTGTACGAAACCTATTTGTAGGCGATAGAAATAAAGAAAAGTGACATACGTGTGCTTAATACACGATTAGTACATTGGATTTAGCATGTGTGATATGTGTAATTGGACGGCAGACCCTCATTGGTTTTACTACCTAGTGCGAGTAGTGCCTGCGAAAGCATTCCCGTCGGCAGCGGCCTGGGGGCGCGGAGGGCTGCAAGTGGAGCAGCGGGCGGAGCAATTAGCGGAGGAGCACCGCACACGCGGCGCTCGGTTTCTCCCGCGCCCTCGCGTTTCACAACCGCACCCGCCCGCGCGCGTGCGCCTTTACGTAAGCGGTGCGAGCGGTTCGCGAGCGGCGGCGCCCGGCGCTACGCGGTTCGGTTCCTCGCCGATCCGTGCGTCCGAGTCTCCGCGCGGAAAGTGTGACGGCGCCGGCGCCGGCGCAAAGAGGTCACCGCAAGCGGCGGCCGCGCCGGCCCTGCTTTCCACCAGCGCAAACACAGCGCGTTCGCTTCCACATTCGACACGGCTTCCGCACAAGCCCCACATTGACACAGGAGCTGCCAAAGATGCGTCACCTTGAGAGCAGATTTATATTCCCCCGAAACCTCTTTTTGCTTTCTTCAAATAGGAGTATTCTTCTTTCGTATTGAACGGTTGATGCTGAACTAATGCTTTTTCTTCAAACACTTTTTTCATACGATACGTTCCGTCACAATCAGTCCGTGCGTGTGAAAGGCACTAAAAAACGAGCAGTTATGGCGAGGCTTTAATCGGATATAAAATGCAAAAAGTAGGCGTTACCGCGTAGTGTCAACACTATTTCACAAAGGCAAAAAAAGTGAGCGAGTGAAATCCTGTGGCCGCTGGCCGCCGTGGCACTTACCCGGCTGGGGCTGGCACAGGAAAGCGAAGCATAGCGCCGCCGCCGCGAAAACACACACCCGGCTGCGAGTCATCCCGCAAACCGACACTCACTAGCAGTAAGGCAGCGTCCGTGCGCGCGCCGCTTATATGCGCCCCCTCTCCCCGCCCCGCGCGGGGTTCGGCGCCCGGCGGGGCCCCGCCGCCGCCCATTGGCGCAGCGCTGCCCCCCCGTCCCCCACGAGCCAGGCCGCCGCAGCGCCACTCCCTCCCCTGAGGAATCGTGTCCTCCGCCTCGCTTGCAGCGCCGAGCGCTGGGTCGTCGAGACGGGGAGATCTTCAGGACCTCCTCCCTCCTTTGCCATCCACTTTGCCCGTGAATTCCCTTTTGTTATCCACTTTCCAGACAACTCTTTCTGCAGCCACACGCCGTGGTATATTTGCGTTCCAGAAGAACCATCTGTCCCCTTCTCTCTGATGCTTCCTCTCGTTTCGAGGCTGTGTGTTCATTCTCCCCATCCACCAATTATTCGCTTGGATCCTTTGATCTGAGAGACCTTGAGGAGACCCTTGTCTCCCTTTGCTTCTCTGGTAATATGTATTAATCCTTTGTGATTCCTGTTCTTCCTCTTTTATTTTTCCCTTGTCTTATTTAGTCCAGATTCTTTAAATGTTCCTCCTTCCGGTCTGCTACTCTCATATCTCTCTTCTTACTGTTAACTTACCCTCCTTTCCATTTCCGTATAGATCCTTCAAACTCTTCCTCTTATTTGTCGCTCTGTCTTTGCTATCGTCACCTTCTCTCCCTTCTATTTCCTGATATTGTAAGTCTAAGTTCTTCTTTCTTTCTTACTTCGCACTCCGTATTCCCTCAAACTTTCTTCTCATATCTTCCCTCTTATTATCAATAAGAAGGCAACCAACTAGAACTTTTGAATCCATATTCACGATTTATTCACTTTCTTATAAGTTAATCGGTCTTAAATGAACATTCTACCATTATTTTTTATTGATAGAATTTGTAGTTTCTTCCGTGGTATAATAAATGATAAATTTTCTTCAACTTCAAATAAATCTGTCAGTGAAGAAATGAACAATTCAGAAAACATTAATATTTAGATAACATACACATACAACAGAAGCATAGTGACGTTTTAATATGTAACAAATTTTAAAGAATACAAAGATCGAATGGTCTGTTAAACTGTTGGTTTGGTAAGGAATATTATTTCATTCACCACATTAGTATTATTCAGTAGATTTTCTTATTCTTAGGGATATACTAAGCTATTATGTTCAGCCCTCGAATAAAAAAGACTGCTATATATTGCCAAGCCTGCTTCATAATGGACAAGTAATTTTATTGCGCAATAAATTTTCATTTATAATTTATAAAATAAAGTTTCATTTATAGTTGTTTATTTTTCCAAAAATTACAAAATACAGTTTTACTAGCCTCTCACGTCGTTAATATTTACATTAGCATTTGTTCACATTATTGCATTTATGAGAACATGTGCTTTAAATGTTCTCTCATAATTTTTCACGCAAACTCGACCGTTTTCTTTAAAAACGAGCTCAAAATACTCACTTTCAGAAACACCATTTTCTCAAAAACGGCTTCAAATGGTTTCTTCAGCGTTTTCGAACCAATAGTAATAATTTTAAACTTTAAGATGACATAAAATCAATTTTCCTGCATTCGTTTGTTAATTCAAATATCACACAAATATTTTATTTTTAATATCTCTCGCGCCGTTAATATGCACATTTCCAGCAATTTGTATGCATTGTTACATTTTTGAATAAATGTGGGTCAAATGATTTCAAATGAAATTTTTGCAAACACAAAATATTTCTGTGAAAAAGAACTTGGAATTTCGTATTTACACGAAAGCTTAAACGATTTTTTTCTTAAAAACACAGACGCAACGAAAATGTTCATATAGGATGAGGTTTTACCCTTCTTTAATATTATAATAATAATGTTTCCAATTTATGAAGATGTAACCGAAAAATTGAGATAACTTAAAAAAATGTATTATGAGCGATGCTAGATGGCAGCTGGCAAGCGTATGTGGTAAGACCGTAAAGCTAACCCACACCAAGGAAATTAGATACTTTAACTATGAGAAAGTATATGCCATTGTGTAGCGCCTTTAGTTTTAAATAAAATTTGGAAATTCTTCATTATTTAAAAGTGCACTTGCAGCATCTTAAAGACTTCCTCTAACGATAAAAATAGTAAGAGATATCTTAATGACATTTTATTGCCAGATTCTATAGTTTTCACATTTACTCGCACCGGGAACTCAAATCTTTTATACACACACACACACACACACACACACACACACACACACACACACACACACACAATATATAATATATATATATATATATATATATGCCTTCACATGTGATGAAAGCAATAATGCTAATCTGTAATCTGGTTCAGTTTAAAATATTGAGACCTAAAAAAATCATTTATGAGACTTGAGAATGATTGATCTGAGAGTTGAAAAAATTGCCTATATATGTTTTATTGTTTGTATTGGTTCGGAGTATTTTATATATATGTTAGGACAGTGCCCATATTTTTATGTATTTTCATTTCAATCCTATTTAACTAAGGATTTTTTTCCTACATCAGAGAATTGCGTAATGGCATTTTTGTTCAGTGTTTCGGAAAATTTCTTAATTTGTTCCAGTTGGGAGTTCTGGAATCCCATTGTTCCCACAGCTCCTGACTTCAATCTACAAACGTCCCCGGATGCTGTGGGATTTGCTTCTTTCCAGAACTCTTCTCTAACACGCCGACTTGTGCTTTGCTAAGGAAATTTTGTATTGTCAGTGCTTATAATGTCTGGTGCATTAATTAGTTCTAAATCAACTCGTATTTGTTAGCTTTTTTGATTAGAATAAGTTTTATATGAGTTTACTTTTGTAAAATGCAAATAGAAAGTATTACTAAAAGAAAAGCTGTTATTTCAGAAAAGAGCTCAGAGCGCAAGATTACTTAAACGCTTCCTGACTTTTATTCAATAATACCATATGGATCTTAACGAACTGAAACTTACACGAAAATCACATTTTTAAAAGTTGAACAACATCGGATGGTTTCCTATTTGCAAAACCTTATTCTAATGCATTTTAAATTGTATCGTACTAGTGAACCCGGCAATGCTTCGCTCTTGCAATGTATTATACTTCTCACGCTACTGGTTACATGATTGTTTGTGATGTTTTACGCTATGCTCTGCAACAATTTTAATCGAGGAAAGACAATCTCGCGAGTTTGTGATTATTGTATGATGGTTTGGACATGGTTGAGTAGTATTCTATTGTTAAAACGTTCTCCTTCAAGTTTAGGTAAGCACGTCACTATCTTAGACAAAATTGATTTACTTATCCGAGATAACGTTAAAGTAATTTTTCTTTATTTCACAATCGAAGCGCCATAATAAGCAAAGAACATGCGCTTAATAATTGAAGGTGCAGCGTGTTGCGTAGAGCTGTTCAGGGGCGCTCGGGTCTGCATAAACACATGAAATCGTCATTAACGCGCGCCTATGTCTGACAGACATGCGCACATTCGTTCAGCAGTAATTTTCCGGGACTAATGAATTGAGAGATTTACAAATTCTGGAATAATATAATCAATACTCACTACGAACATAAAGTCACATAAACATAATTTTGAAAATATTATTATTTAAATGTTTTATTTTTATCAAGGTCTGTATATGTATGTTGTGGACAAATGCAGAAAATGCTGCTATCCACTGTAACTCATTAGCGTAACGCATAATATACAATTAACATCACTGAACCTTTTTTGTAAATCCACATGTCGGATGATTAATGGACATTGCATTTATACACATTCAGTAACATTAGCTTTTAAAAACGCTCATTAATCTTGGGACTCAAAAAGATCGCTGTGCAAGTTGACTGCTTTCTTAAAATACATTACATATCGCAAAACAAAACAACTCAAATTACCAACTACATGATATTTAGTAGGTTTTGAAAACGATGTACTAAGCAAATTAATGCAGACAAGTGTTCATTCAATTAATTTTAAGATATTATGAACATTTAGTTTTTCAATAAAATTCCTTAATAAAAGCAAGTGATAACATGATATGAGGTCTACTATTTTAAATTTAAAGAAAAAATAACTAACTTTGGTTGAGTAAAATGTTCAAATGTCATTCTAAACGAAACAAATCATGTGTTACATTATATATAAATTAAGAAAAAGAAACTGTTTTAAATATTCACAATAATCTATAAACAAATAATGGCTGCAATGATCTGCATGCTCAGAGTTTTCTATAATGCAGTTGCTATTTGAGAAACGTTCCAAACTTCACCAGCTCCTGGCACCGGTTGGTTTTCCTGAAAGTTAGGCAGCCAACAACCGAAAGCGGCCGTCCTCACCGGCGGCGTCAAGCGGTGATGCATTTCCCCCGAGACTTCTCACGCTCGCCGTTGTTTCTAATTTGATACTTTCCGTTATTGACCATAAGTATCGATAGGTCATTCGAACAAAAACATGTTCCAATATGTTCATAATGTATGAATTTTAGTGACAATTTTAATGAGTAAATGTTACATGTCTTAAATTCAATATCAAGTGCATAAATAATAAGAAGCGGAAATCGTCAAAAGTTTACTATACATCTCAAATATTGCAGTTCCTTTGAAGAATAATTGAACTGAGAGTTGAACATTATATACACTATAGTTTGTTAAAATTGCAATACCCAGAAGTTTTGGTCGGAATCGCTTAAAAATTGGTGGATGTGTTGAATTGTGTATCCATAAGAAGTGATCAAATTTTCATAGAGATGGCATGCAGGTTGGCCTAGCAGCGCTCTTTTTTGTGTGACAGGTCAGAAACGAGTAGCGTCACACTCAGTCGGCGTAGAGCCGTCAAAAGACGTGGAAATAGTGCCGGTAGTCCTTGTCGACGCCAAAGAACAATTTGAGCATCTCCATGAGTTCAGACGGGGCAGAATGATCGGTCTCCGGGAAGCGGGTTTGACGTACCGTCGCATTTCAGCTCGAACGGAGTGCTCTGCAACAACAGTGTTTTGGTGGATAGAAGACAGTCGTACACAGCGACGAGCGGGTACTGGACCCACAATTTGACCACATTGTGAGATGACCGCCATCTTTTCCGCGTCGGTCGAACTGCGTCGACCAGTGTTGACTCGACTTTGGAGCACTGCAGCGGGCTCGATCATGTCTGCTGAGGGCTACACTGATGGCAGGCATACCATTTCGTCCAGAAACCATCAACGCCTCAAACAGCAATTGGCAAGGGAACGTGTTCACTGGTGTGCTGAGTGTACACGTTCAAAAGTA